ACAAAATCCATGAGACATATGAACGAAGCGATAAAACCTATAATATTACCAATCAATTGTAAACAGTCATCTAACCCATAGACTTCATCCTGACTTAAAAAAGTAGAATTTTCATGTTCTACAACGTAAACTTTATAAAACCCTAAATGATTCGGTACATAGCGAAAATCAGATTTATTGATTTTCACTTTCACTGCACTATATATTTTGTCCTTATATGGGAATACTTACGCGCAGGAGTTAAACTAGTGATCTCACGATGAGCATAACAGGGTATAGAGAATGGTGGTACACCAATCTCATAATTGCACACAAGTATATCAAGCAAAGTGTTTGATACAAAAATTGAACTCATTTTTTGGTTTTTGGAAACGTCACGTTTGAATATAGAAACTCAACTGAACTCGAAGTTGCATTTTCGGGAATGGGTAACTAGATAATAGTTCCCGTTCGCTACGGAATGACAAAGTGCTTTGCGGGATAACCGCTGGCCGTCTTTGTAAAACTAGTAAGCGAAATAAGAAAAAAAGATTGTAAAAAGCTCATTAGTATTAAATTGCCAAAATTGAAATAAAGTACATAGCACCTCTTTAAATATTGAGGGTTCGGAAATTCATCCACGCATGACGCGATCCACTATAGTGGGCAGATAAAGGGGTCAGTAGTTAAGTGACTGGCGTCTACCATTTAACGTGTATTCTTTGTTTCGATAGAGTTATTTTGAGTTGACTGAAATGAAGAAAGTTTAAATATTTGATGCGAAAGCCAAAATCTCATACAAATTTGATTAATACCTTTTATTTTACCAAGAGCTGGATTGTTATAAATATAGGATTTGCTCAGCACTCACAGCTGCGAATTGCCTCTTGGCGCACATAATTTGTCGGTACAATTTTCCATCAAGAATTATCTCGGATAATGCGAGTAGTTTTACGTCACATGTCATAAAGCAACTAACGCAACTTTTTGCGATCAAGAAAATCTTTACTACGCCGTATAGGCCTCAAGGAAACTTAGTGGAGAGAAGCCACAGAACTTTGAATG